CTAAAATCAGAACAATTCTATAAGAAAGCATATTCCCATGAAATCTTCCATGCACTTTTTGTAGCATTTGTCAATTCAGTATCACAGGAAAACTGAAGCGCAGATAAATATGCAACAACAGCAATCAACTTTCTTTTCCTTCAGTGATGCTTTTTAATTCTGAAATCTATATGCTTGAAGCCAAGAGCTGCAACATAATTGTCACATGTGACTTCCATATCATAACTGGCTCCCCCACCCCCTTATTAAGAATCAAGATAACTGAAATTTCAAATTAGGAATGAACCTCTGATGCTCCTGAAGCCCCTGAGGCTTACCTCTGAAGGTCCCTGTCGAGAAGATGAGTTGTCAGAAGGCCACAGACACCCTTCCTAGGTCACAGAGAGAGAAAAAAATCTTCAGCATTTAAGTGCTACACAGCCCTGACATGTCTTGCTTCAACATTAGTGTATAATTTCTACTTAAGCATACATATTTTAGACTTTTGTTTTTTTATACCATAATAGCTTGGGGCTGATTCTGTGGTGAGTATGTTTTAAACTAAGGCCTACCATGCTAAATCTACACGCTTTATTTTTATTTCTTACTCAGGCTCATCAGATAATTCAATTGCAACTGACTTTAGGCACTGTCCATTCCAATTCAGTAAACAGATTTTAAAAAATAGAGTAACAAAATAGAAAGCATAACATAATTTAATCATACCACACCGAGGAATAAGATAAAGCATTGCTTAGTGTAGGGGGGAAATTTCATCTTTCAAACCAGTCCCTAAATGCCTCCTAGAAGAACCAGGTCTCAATGCCTTTCCTAAATGCCAACAGGGTTGGTGCTGATGTAATCCCTGTGGGAATGCTGTTTCACAGAAGGGAAAAAAGTTGCCTTCATGGCCCCTGATGGTAAGACTACTTTAAAACAGGGATCCCTCCCTTCCAGATCATATTGGACAGGAAATTCTGCTGTGCAATATCATCATTAAAGAGGCATCATTAAAGAGTTAGTATCCACAGGTTCCAGCAATTGTTTGCAGCAAGCACCATTCCTCTACATATGAATTCTGCCGTGTAAGGTGAAACCTACAGTGTAACAGAGGCTTTGGCACAGTACAAAGTCATAAAGATCATGGGATCTTCCAAAGTCTCATAGAAGACCATGAGGACTGCCTGTTCAATGATGTGTGCAGCATGATTAGAGAGGCAAGGAGATATTCACTGTTTTCCCCATGCTGAGTTCAGTTCCACTAAACTACTTTGCATACAATTTTGACATCATCTAGTTTAACATCATCTACTTTAATTAAACTGCTCTTGCAACTCACCCCTCAATTACATACACAAACACACAGCTTTTTCTCCTAACAAGGCTATAGACCTTTCTCCACTGCTAAGCTGAAGTGCTCTCTGCTCAGAATAAATCAATCTACAATTAGTAATCCCCACTGCTGATTCCTATCCTGCATCTACCACCATTCTCTCAAGTCAGTACAGTCATCTGACTGTCACCACACTAAGTCTAACAAGGTTTTTGCATCTTGTGACTGCCCTTGATTGGTGCAGAATAAAGCAAAATATATTGCTTTAAAACTGGTACTGCTAGCCTGGCTCACTTATGAGTTGAGGACAGATGAAAGCAATGTCATGGGGATGGCATTAAAAAATATGTTGGCAGGTCATGTTTGTTACATGATTAAATGCAACTGGAGATGGCCCTGGTATCTTTTCAGAGTATGAAAATTTTTCTGGATTTTTGCTTTTCTAAAAGTTGTACACCTAAAAAAAAGCCTTTAGAAAGCAGTAACTGTTTTTTGTAAACAAGGTGGGGTCAGGCCCCCCACACTTGCAGCAAGAACAAGAATTCCATATGCAAGATCCTGATCATTGTGCAAAATTTCTGATCCAGTTACTGTGGAAACTCAATCTACATTAATGAAAATAAATTATTATAAAGATTTCATAGTATTATATACATGGTACTATATACTCTTGTTCCTTGTTTAATCTATGTCTCAATTTCTGTATAGTTGTTTTATTTTTACTATCATATGATCAGGAAATAGACAAAAGTTTTAAGCTAACCATTTACATGTTAAAAGGGTGAAATAATTTTATTTCAAATAAAGGAGCTTTGATCTTTGCTTCCACCAACAAGACATTGAAGAGTCATTACTCTAATTCAGTATCTTCACTTTATGTTTACTTGGCTGAAGAATCTATGGGTTAAGACCCCTTTTCTTCACAAACATGATATCCTGAATCCATAAACTTGCTGCAAACTATCAAAGATTACAACAGTGACACTGTTAGCAAAATTACTCTAATGAAAAATGTGTACAAATAAGGGTTTGCTTCCATATACACAGGATTTTGTCAATATAGGATTTGTATCCAATTCTTAACTGTAATCAGTGGGAATAAAATTGTGGTTTAATTATTAGAAATGCAATGGTTGTTTAATTACTGTGTTTATAATACTAGAAATGCCATGAATCTCTACATTATCTGAAAGTGAATTCAAGCTCCTTGGCCCAATTCTTGTTATTGTTATCCTCAACTCATAAACCATGGTTTACCAGTCCCAGAAAAAAGCTACATGCATATGCTTTTTGTTCTATTCTCCTTGCCCCTGAAATTCTAATTTCTTAAGACCATAGTTATAGTTCCATTTACTAAGGAACAAGACCAACTGAATTCAACAGAACTTACTTTTGAGTAGGATTATACTGTGAGCCATAGTTTTGTAGATGGGCATCAACAGAAAGTGGCTTAAAGAATCAGAAAATCTCTGCTGAAGCTGGGCAAAGGAGAGGAGTATGTGTATTCCCAGATAGGTAATCCATTTTTTGTTGGACTGGGGTAATATTTGCTTTTCTGACTCCTATCTAACAGGTAATATCTTGGGATGTAATTTAGGAGTTAGAAACTACTGGTAAAACAGACTTCTGCTTTGACTTTCATTATGAAATATGTTACATCAGTCTTCCCAACAGGGCGTTCTCTAGACATGACTGCATACAGCTTGCAGAATGTCCTATCAAAGAGCCAATAGCTCAGCATTCTGGAAGTTGGAGTGCAACAAATCTGGAGGTCATAAGAATTGTAAAGTCTCAGAAAATTCAGATATTTAATACCTGAAAAATTGATTCTGCATTTAAGATAAATTTGTCTGATGTACTACAGGAAGTAGTTATTATTTTAGTAATGTACTTTTACAAGGTTATCAAAGGCACTTTTCACATTTGGCTACTGATCTAATTTTATTACTACAATGCAAGTTATGAATAATAATGAACAAAAAAAAAGGAATTTGGGGCAATGGGATCAATGTTAATCCAACGATCAAAAGTATATATTAAATACACACTACTCCCTTTTAAAATAGCTAACGCTAATGTTTATAGTCAAAATTATCTATAACTGTAAATGTTTATGATTAGTTGAGAAACTTCCCTGCTATAATCAATGTACATCAAAAAGTACATTGGAGTGTGCATGGTGCTTATGTAGAACCTACCAGCAACTCTTTAAAGCAGCTGCATATTTTTCTGACATTATAAGACCACCCTCCATAGATGTAGTCTAATCCTGGAAAAAGTCATGCTCTGATGGGTGCTATGTGCACAACCATGCACAATCCATCACACCATTTTTCCCTTTGAATGCAAAGTACTTCACAGCCCTATTATGAATTCAAAGTGCTTGTTATATGACCATTCTGGATAATCCCTGGCCAGTGTTGATCTAGTGATGTCCGCTTTCCTCCAAACATCAGTGTTATTATCCGTAGGAATGAAGGTGACTTGTTTTCCATATGAGTTAAGACTCTGTGCAGAATCCTGTCTCATGTGAAAGCCAATGTGCATACACAAGTACAAGCTCTCCTGAAAACAGCAGGAAACTGATGTCACGTCAATCAAATCAGCAGGTGGCAAAGATCATTAAGTATACAAGCGTGCTAGTTTTAGTAATGTGTGAACATGGATAATATAAACAAAGAACTTGGGAATCTGAAGCAAATGGATTTTAAAATTTAACTAAATTTAGTGTTGCCACACTCTAGTTTACAAATAAATAAATGTTAATGGTGCTTGCATCGGATTATGATTCATAAAATATTATTAATTCTGCCTAATCCACTATATAAATTAAGACATTTGTGAATAACACAAATAAGAGTTTGTTTTCTCCTCCATCTTTCCTTTGGATGGTGATGTTCTTCACTCTCCACTATTCCTAAAGATTACCCTTACAGAATAATTCCTCTTCAGAACCAGAATTTCAGAACAGCAATTTCTCAGAACCAAAGCAGTTTCCATTTCTGGCACCCTGCTGGGGCCTACCCTGCACAGGATTATAAATATGCATTCAGCAATTTGTACAACTCTGTTATACAGTCATATGATCTGTACCTTGGACTAAAGTATATACAGTGCATTCGGAAAGTATTCAACCCCTTCACTTTTTTCAATTTTGTTATTTTGCAGCCTGATACTACAATCGTTCAAATTCATTTTTTTTCTCATTAATCTATACTTAGTATCCCATAATGACAAAATGGAAACAGAATTTTAGAAATGTCTGTAAATTTATTAAAAAGAAAAAACTGAAATATCACATGT